CTGTTGGCTAGATTTATTTAAAAGAGGGACAGGTTTTTGGTTTGCATGCCTGATAGGAAGTTGTGCTTGGTTTTGGTCATTCCTCCAAGTCCATTACAAATCTACCACATTAAGGGAATGGTTTGCCCTGCCAATCTTATGTCTTGAGTTATATTTGTGTCTGTTGTCTTGACCTAACTCCTCAGAAGTCTGCTAGTACTTATTCCTGTTTGGGGCAGAGGAAAATTTTTAATCAAGGTTTTTTTCCCTATGAAGGTGGTTGATTTTAGAATTTGAATTGCTAATGTACCTCTGTACATTTTACTTAGATAAATATCTGATAGTCTTATCCTCTGCTTAAATCTTATTTATTTAGCATACACATTAAAAATAACTTCTGGAAAACGTCTTGCCTCAGAGTGTTATGTTTCAGGTGCAAAGCATTGCACACACTATTAGTGTGTGTTTTTGTGCGAGAGGAACTTCAAGACCTTGAGTTTGCTTTGCCAGGGTCTATTTGAAGATGCGTGGCTATTTTTTTTAGATTTATTTTATATGTGTGAGTGTTTTGGCTGCATCTATGTATGTAAACCCATGTAAATATAACACACGTGTGCTTGTTCTCCTCTGAGATAAGAGAGGGTTGGATACCCTGGATGGTTGTGAGCCTCTATGTAGATTTTGGAGACTGAACCCGGATCCTCTGTGTAGAGCTGAGAACCAAATGTAGGTCTTGTACAAGAGCAATAAGTGCTAGAAGTGCTCTTATAACCGCAGACGATCTCTTCTGCCCCAAGATTTCTGTTTATTTCAAGGTTATTTCCTATGTTCCTTAGTAATCCTTCCCCAGAACTAGTATATGGTGTACATAAAAACTAAAGCTCTCTAGTCTTAAACTTCATATTTATCTGATCAAAACAGACTAGCCATGCATTTTAGGTATAGCTGGAATAGATTGTGGATCCTTTACCTAAAATTGGTAAGAAGAGAAATATCTCAGATTTTGGAATATTTTCATAGGCTTCACTGGTTGAGTATCCTTAAAACATCAAGCTCAAGTGCTTCAAAATTTGAAACATGCCTGGCGGCGGTGGCCCACGCCTTTAATCCCAGCACTCGGGAGGCAGAGGCAGGTGGATCTCTGTGAGTTCAAGGCCAGCCTGGCGTACAGAGTGAGATCCAGGACAGGCACCTAAAAAACTACACAGAGAAACCCTATCTTGAAAAACAAAAACAAATTTGAAACATTTTGAACTCTCAGCATATACTAGGAATTCCTCTGTGATGTTAGTGTGTCTAGTGCCTGGAGTATGCCTGTAAAACTAACACTCAGGATTTGGAGACGTGGGATCTGGATCTCTTATCTCAATTTTAAAAATGAAAAATTCTACAAAATCCTTGACACTTAAGATTCCAGATCATTTCATATTTGGGAGTTGAAAAAGCTTTAAAATGTGGTTTCATCTTTGTATTCACTTTTTTATACGAAATGAAGATTGTTACTAATTTCATAGGCTATATGATCAAATAGTATACATTTGTGCTTTCCAAAGTTAAAAGTGGTATGAACAGTAACTTCAAGAATTATCGTTTTTAAGTATAAAAACCTAATATTTGTTCTTTTATAAGAAATGAGCAGATTTTAATACACAAAGAACTAAAGTTAGGTTCCTGGGGGCAACATCCTATGGTCACTGAGAACTTGATGTATGATTTTGAGAATCATCAAGTATAGGATATATATGTGTCATGCCTTATTTTAAATATAATCTTAGTCAAGTGTACTGGTACGTGCCTGTAGTCACGGCTCCTCTGGAGGCTGAGGTTAAGTGAAGATCATTTGAGACCAACCTGGAAAAACTCTTGTATTTGAGCTGGAATGTAACTTGTTACCCACAGGCTCTTGCTGAGAGCTTGGTACCTCGTTGATGGCACTGTTTTGATGTAGAACTTTGAGGAGGAAGTAGGTCCCTGGGGCTGTGCCTTTGAGCAGTACACCTTGTGTGTTCTACTGTTTATCCCGACTCCATGTGCTCCCACCGTCCTGTTCTGACTCACTGTGTGTTCATAAACTAGTGGAACCAACAATCATGTACTGAAATCTCAGCAGTTGTGTGCCAAAATAAAATTTCTTTCTCTCAGCACTTTGTCAGCAGAATGAAGGATTACATACCCTGTCTAAATTCCAGCACAGTGTGAATTATAGACATTTTTGTTATGTTTCAAGCGACTACACGGCCAGCAAGATGTAGTAACCCATTTTTCCAATCTTAGGTTGAATATAACTGACCAATTTTGAAGAAAACTTGAGGATAAACAGCATTCATTAGTAATAAACATTGTGTACCATCCTAAGCTTTGAACCTGGAGCCAGCAGGCTATTTGTCATGTTGATTGAAACAAAAAGCATCCAGGGAAGAAAAACCACTGGGAAGGCTGCCTGGCTTTCCACAGAAAGCCCTCTCACACGTCTCCCTGCCTCTCTTCATTGCCTTAAAATGCTAATGGCTTTGCTGCTCCAAGCTGCAGCAAGACGAGAGCTGAATTCTAACCTCATCATGGAACTCACTGTTTCCCAGAAGTTTCCCCAAAGGACTCAGTCCTAGTTGTTTGATGGGCTTTGTGGTGTCTACTTGCTTTCTTTCAGGGTTAGGAATCTGGGTCCCATCACTGGCACCACAAAATATAATAAATTCCGGGTTTGTCCTGGAAGTATGGTTTCTCCTGGTGAACTTTAGAAGCAATGCTTACAGCTCTCAGAACCTCCAGGGACCCTGAGGGGTTCGAGGCAAGGTATAGTAGAGGTAGCACTGTCACCAGGGCCCCTTAGGACTTCTAGTCACCCCTGCCACTGCCACATGCAGGACAAATGCACATTTTCTCTCATAGGTGGGCCTTTGAAGTTTTCTACCCGTCTGTGTGAGTGTAGGTCATGAGACTGGATTGGACTATGAAAGGGAAAGCTTCAGCGAGGGGATAAGGAAACGATACAAGAAACGAGGTTTATGAACATGTCAGTAGGAAACCTTTTGTATGCTAATTTAAAAATCGTTCCAGAAGATGGCAAAATTAAAGGTGTGCTACCCAGCGGTGGTCTACATTTAGGTAGCTGCTTGAGACTGACAGAGGCGGTAAATGACGTTCGTAGGGGTTGATGCAGAAAGGGAGCACTGGAGAAGTCTTAGAGTGAAGAGACACTCAGAATGCCGGGTTGGCGTGCAGGCTCCAGGCCAGAGATGCAAGCGTCTGGAATGCCTTTCAGGAACTCTGGGAAGGCCTCTTCCACCTGCTAGGGGCGGGGCCTGGGTGGAGCTAGGATGCTGAGGGAGGTGACGCAGGAGCTATCCAGCTCGTCAGTTCCCTGCTTTGGGCCAGATTACAAGCTCGCCCGCGGCCCTACGGTGAGTTCCTCGGTGAAGCAGCCAGGCTAGGCAGCCGGCTGAACGCGGGACTACTTGGGTTCATAAGGTAGGGAAGGATGCCCTCCAGAAATCCTTGAACTTGAGGCTGGGGTCAGACAAAGGATGGGTGCGGGGATTACAAGGGTTGGCTATAAATAAGGGGTGGGAGGAAGAGTTCCGAGAGCGGTGATTGGGTAGTTCATCAGTTGGCTGGCCAGTAAAGAAAACATCCTGTATTCGGAGTTCATGGAGAAAGATGGAGATAATGGAGCCTGGTGCCCGCATCTGGCCCTTTCATCACAGCTGTAGATTATGCTGTTAAAACCACCGTCCTCGGCCCTATGATGAGCAAGGCCAGGAAAGGCTTTTAGCTGCAGGGAAAAAGAAGACATTAGCTGAAACGAATATTTATTTCTGTTTTAGGAACGATGCTTGGCTTGTTCCCCACTGTTTCCATCCCTACCCCTGTGAATGCTCAAAAAGGTTTATCTGGCTGTTGCCTGAAGCACCCATTCAAAACAAGCAGCTTCCAGGGACGCTGTGTAAATACTGTTTCCTTGCTCTGCAGGCATGTCCATGGACAGCAACATGTAGGGCAGATTGACAGCCCACATATCCCCGCCCCCTCCCAACCCCCCACTCCATTTCACTGTGTTCCCTCTCCTCCCTGCCGCCTCCGCAGATCTCAACTTCTGGAACTGTGAACCGTGAACCGATGCTGCCAACACGGGAACAGAAGTGCAGGGCCTCACGGTGCACCTGGCTTGCTCCGTCCTCCTTTACACGATTTTGATCTTTATCCTAACAATAACTCTGTAAGACAGGTTGTTACTATTCTCATTCCGCAGAAGAGGAGGCAGGGGGTACTTGCCCAACATCACCTAGGTGGCACACAGTGAAGCAAGTGTCTTTCATGTCACCTCCCACATGGCAGGGCAGCATCTGAGCTGCACAGTACTTCTGCTCAGGATCTTCTTGTATTGCTTGTCTGCGCTCAGACGGTGTTTAATTTTTACTGTTTAAATCTCCCTAACTCCTTCTTCCTTTAAATTGGGAAAACTCAAAATACCACCCTCCTTTTCTCAAAACGGAAAGTACTTAGATTGCAAGGAAAACAGACCACGGGGGTGAGAACCATTATTCCAGCTTAGACGTCTCAGGTAGCAAGTTAGAGGGACTTGCTTACCCTAGACACTTTGGTCTCTTTACTGCTTTCCCACAGGGGTTTCCTACCTGCCTTGGACACTTGACACAAACACAAACCTCTAGAATTTTTCACTGTAGGCTCCTTTCAGGGTGGTCCTTCTGCCTCAACTTGTGATTCGTGATTATATCACCACAGTAGTGTTATTACAGTTGCCAATTTTGGCCAAGTTATAGACTTGGTCCTTTCCTTTGCAGGTTAAAAATGGCCCCAAGGATGGTCCCTGTCCTGCTGTCTGGCCTTTTGGTTTGGTTGATGTTCGACTGGAATCCAGCATTCGCTTATAGTCCACGGACTCCTGATCGGGTCTCTGAAACAGATATCCAGAGGCTTCTCCATGGAGTTATGGAGCAGCTGGGCATTGCCAGGCCACGTGTGGAATACCCCGCTCACCAGGCCATGAATCTTGTAGGGCCACAGAGTATTGAAGGTATGCGCTGTACCTAACTGATGGTGTTTCCATTATATTTCTGAGGCTACTGCCTCCATTTATCAGAGTTTTTTGTTTTGTTTAGGGGATGGGGGTGGTATTGTTGTCTTGGCCGTCTCATGTAGACTAGGCTCACCTTGAACTCTCTATGTAGTCAAGGATGACCTTGAGCTCCTGATCCTCTTGCCTTTACCTCCCAAGTGCTAAGATTTGGGGGATGGGAGCTCAACTTCCTGAGAAGCGGAGGAGGGAAGCTGGGGCTGTGGGCCACATACTAAGCAAGCACTCTGTGGGCTAAGCTGTATCCCCATCCCCGGCCCTATTAACCCTTTGTGTTCTGCACGGTGGTACATACATGGCACACCCATGAGGATGGCAAGACCACCTCTCTGGTGAATTTTCCCAGTTTCTCAAGTTCCTGGTAATGTTCTTATAAAACCTCAAGTTGAAAGCTGTATTTCATTTATTTGCTGTTTACTTATATATAAAAAGAGTCTTCCCCTTGGGAGTGGGCAATGGATCTCGTAGAAAAATATGAATTCTCATGTTGGATTCTCTCAAAAGCCACATCTGGCAAAGTGCTGTTTCTGGTGGATAGATGATGCATACTTTTCCCTGCGGTGATTAGCTCACAATACTGTCTGCTCCAGAGGTCTGTACATGCTGTGAATAGCGTTAATATATGACTCCCATTTCTGCCTTCTTGCCCATCACTTTGAGCCATTGAAATTGCTGTGTATTTTGATTGACATTTGAGTTCAGGAGGAAATTAACCCAAATCGTTTGAATCTGCAAGCATGCAACTACAGCAAATGACTTGCAACAAGATAAATCAGATAGGACTCCATGCCATCCTTCCATTAGGGAGAATCTGAAGCCTTCATGGCACCAGCCACCTGTTCCTGTTTACTGAACGCTTTGGTTTTGAGATGGTAAATATCTGCCCTTTCTCTGCCAGTGAAGCGCACGGCTAATCTCTCTGCTGCTGTCATGGAAAAGGTTCCTCCTGCTGCCCTAGCCTTGTTTATACAGAACCCCATTCTCTTCCCTCAGCATCCAACTATGTGTCATCCTCTATGAGCCTGCCATTCTGCAGGATGCTGGGGCAGCTCTGGACCAAATGACCCAGGCTAACTGGGAGAAGGGAACTCATTACAGTGTATCCTGATACACACTGCTTCCATGGAACAAAGAGAGGAGACTGGTCAGGATTGGGGGGAGCCTATAAGGAAATGCTTCTTAGAAGTAACATTTGGCCGGGGTTTTGAAGTTGGCATAGGAAATCCTCAGGGAAACGTGATGAAAAGGCAAGGAGGAATGAAAGAGCATGGGTTACCATAAATCGGAGTTAACGAGTTCCCATCATTATCTTTGAGGTAATGAGCTGTCGTAGTGAACTCAACTCTTCCCTAAGAGATAACTGTTGACTTGTGCTCCCATTGACGGTGGCTCTACAGTGAATTACCACAGCATTAGCCATTTAACAGGATGGTCATTGGTTTCCCCTATCAGTTACCTCTGGTCACAGCATTGGCTGTCTCACCCCATTCAGAGTCACACTAAGCTAAATTCAGGTCTTGAGCAGCAACACAACCAAGCTGGTGTGGGATCTTTTAATCTCATTATGGTGATCGGCAGACTTTGTTTCTATGTGCCTGTCAACCGAAGTTCCCTTTTACTGGATGGCTGTCAGCTGGGCCCCTCTGGGCTCTTAGAGGCCACCCTCGAGCAGCATGCCATCTCACAACATGCAGACTATTCTGAGCAAGAACGTTCTTTGTAGTATTTTACTTCTCTAGGATAAGCCCCTTTAGTCTGATAGGGGCAATGCAACAGAATCATGGGAGAGACTTTTCTCACCACCTTCCTTATCTAAGATGAGAGCCCAGTTATTGCCAGTCTCCACTGCGTGCAAAGGCAGACTCTGGCATGCTCAGCAGATAAGAATCTTGAAGCTACTTTAGAATTCTGCCTCTTATAGCTGAGGTGAAACCTGACAGGAAATCGTCCAAAGATAGTGAGAAAAAAGAACTAAATATAAATCTTGAGTTCTTCCCAGTCCATCCTGGGCTTTAATTGGACGGCCTGCTTCTTATTCACGTGAATATGTCATTGTTTCAACTCATCCATCTGTCTGTCGTGTGTGCTCAGAGTTACCTCATGCCATGTGAAGTAGCTCCTTTCATTCTCTAACAGCATCAGAAAGAATCATTTAAAGGTGCTCCCCCCAAGTTTATAGAGAACACCCACAGTACACATATTCTTGTGTAAATTTCAAGACATATTTAATGTGGTTGTTATTAGTAAAAACTGTTACAAAAGCTCCCTAATTTAAATGCTAACTCTATCACTTATGGGTGTCGTCTTTTAGCAAGTTATTAATTTCTTTGTTTCTATTTAGCTTAAATAGTTAGTTCTCTGCAGGTACCTTGAAAACAGCTGAGTAGGAGCATCTTCCAAATGTATAAATTCTTGGCCAAAGGCAAGACAAGAGGACAAAGTAAAGACTTCTAGGAAGTGGCCCGATATAAAGGACAGCATGAGCTTTGATGGCAGGGAAACCAAGTCTGGGTCGTGTCACACTGTTTCCTTAGTGTGTGTGATCTCCATATCATCTCTGAAATGTGATTTTCTTACAGATGACATAGGCTCCCTTCACATGCAGTCATGAGAGCTGTTAATAAGAGGACCGCAAGACACCTCCTCTCTGTGCATTAGAGGTCTCTCATGTGACCTTTGCTGGTTTGTTAATCTTTATTGGGTGTTTGAGACAGGACCCCATATAGCCAACTTGGCCTCGAACACCTCATGTAGCCAAGGGTGACCTTGAGTGTCTCATACTCCTGCCTCTACCTCCTGGGTTCCCAATCCTGTTTCTGACCTCGCCACTGCTCAGCCTCTCTGCATCTGATGTTTCAGCACTGCCCGTCTTCTCCCAGCTTGTGGAGCAGAGCTCTGTGACATAGCTAAATGTTTCTCTTGTCATTTTGCCCTCAGAGGCAAGGAAAGCTACTGGCTGCCGCACGGACAGACCCGGAGAGCCATTTGCAAAGGTTGAGGACTTTGGAGGGCAGAAGCTGCCTCTGCTCGCTGACGCTCTTGGTGAATCGGGGTGGATCAAACCAGGACAGTAGTCTAGTTCACAGAATACTAACAGCCTTGAGTTAAAAATAACAAAACAACGACAAACTGTTCTCCTACAGTGTCAGCTGTTTCTTTCCCCTACACTTTAAGCCACTGGACACTTAGCACTATAATAACACTAAGTTTTAAACCATTAAGACAGACATGTATAACTATTAGCATTTGATGGTTCTAAATAATATATATTTATATTGCTAAACATAAAAATATCAAAAATATTTTTAAAAACACTGACTTTGGGAACTTCATTTTTTTTTTTTCAAAATAAAGAGAACTGAAACTTTAAAAAAAAATCATATCAAATTGGGGCCGGGGTCCTTCTTAAGATAGTATTCATGGATGAGCAGGCAGGTTTTAAGGAGCTTGCTAAATAAAGGAGCTGCAGTACCACCACCTTGCCACAGAGTGGCAATATTTGCCTCCCGATCAAAGGCTGGAGGAAGATGGGAGTAAACATGGAAGGGCAGAAAAGGAGCCTCACTTTGTTTCTGGATAGTTCTCTCTGCACTTAGAGGAAGAAGGAATACGGCTGTCTTTTGGCCCAGATACCTTGACTAAAGTCTTTCTAGATTTTTCCCACTCTAGAGGAATCAGTGAGAACACGTGTTTGCTACTCACTTCGCCTACATCTGGGCCTCCAGTTCCATCCTTTGAGGCTATCTTGAGATCACACACACTACTGAAATTCTTTAAGAACACCCCAGAAAATGGTTTTAGTCTTCCTGTGTGGATCAGCCACCTGGATAATAAGAAAAGTTTTAAACGCATGTGGGATAGGGAAGATGAAAATGATTGTTTGTCTTTAAGGCAATCCAGGGTGTCTGGGAAGAGGTGTGAAGATGGCACTCTGGATGTGCATAACACAGGATCGATGTCTGGGTGAAGGAGGGCTTTTTGGTATCATCTCCGTGTTAGGAGTGGCTGCGGCTGTGGTGTGAATGAGGTGTTCCAGTAAACATTACATGTGGAGACAGAGTACCTCATACAAAGTCCTGAAATGTTCAACACAGAAAGGCCAGGTAGACAGTAACCTGCAAAGGGAACTGGGGGCCTGGGGAAGTAGCTCCATTGTAGGGTGTTTGCCTAGCTTGCTTGCAGCCCTGAGTTTGAGAAACATGGAAGGGGGGTGAGAGAAAGAAGAGAACAGAGACTGGTCAGAAAGACGAAGCATAAGGAAGACCAGAAAAAGAGAAACCACTGTGTTTTCGGGGGACTATAGGTATGGCCACACTGAAATCATTAGATCTTTGGACAAAGCCAGTTCTGTGAAGAATCAGGGGCATGGGGCAAACCCACACTGCAGTGGTTGAGACAGTAATGGGGGGAAAGGGGAAGAAGATAGATGGTAAAAAACTTACTCCTAGAATGATCTGGTCAAGTCAGAGACTGGCGGGGGGATGTGGAGTTTGTGATGTAGACCTGGGGAAGATTTTTATTAACGTCATTATTTTTAGATATGAGGGATTCAAAGTCATTTAAGTGCTAATTGCCGGGGACCCATGTAGAGAAAGAGTCGAAGATGAAGAGCAGGTAAGGGAAGACTTAGGAAAAACAATCTTCATAAACACCTTATGTCTTTGCAACAGTGCAATCAAAATACAGTCTTACTGTGTGCACAAAATGTAGAGAAATATGAATCACCTCAATAAAACAATTTGCTAGGGAATATGCACCCAAACCAGATGTGGCAACACACACTTGTAATCCAAGCACTGGAAAATTGGGTGGAGGCAGGAGGATCATAAATTTGAGGGCAGCCTGCTTTATATAGTGAGTTGCAGGCCAGTCTGGGTGCATAATGCAACCTTGTCTCAAAAACAAAAATCACAAATTTAAAGTGGTAAACTCAGTAGTTG